AATTATATCAACTAGGAGCCAAGCTAAAGGATAAATTTTCCTTACATTGACCTGAGTGGTTGGGCAAGGCGATCTATACCTCTGAGGGTCTTATCATTACAATCATCTCATGTGGTAATTAAAGTCTGAACTCTTAATTTTTATTGTTTTAAGTTCTTTGGCCACAATTTGAATATGATACCTGGATACACAGATAGTATAGACGGACTTAGAACATATGATGAACCTGTTTGTTTTTCAATATATTAAATGAAATACCGGTGCTGTCCACACCACGGTAAACAACATAGAAACTAATGTTTGTCCACAAATAAACGTTTAGTTTACAAGTATGTGTCATCATGGCTAAGGCTTAATATTTTACATTAACTATCAAAGGTCGGGATAATAATGGTGGACCCCTTATTTCCTGTATACAAGGTGAATGAACCTTGGCATACCATGACTATTCCTTGCTCTTATGTGATATGTTGCTACCATGTGTTTTATAAAGCCAAATATCTTACCACAATTTGCAGTAACAACTGAGTAGAGTTGTTGGTCAATAATGTCCATCTAATGCAAACACTTAAAACAACCATTCAATAGGTAGGTTCGAATACACCAGCTTCTGTATAGCCTTATTTTTTCCATCCCATTTTAATTAGTAAAAAGATGAATCAATAGACAAGACCAAAATAATCTAAACTCAAGAAATTCTTCAATAACATTCCCTTTTCAATGCGTCAGACCAGTTACCCTTTCATGTACTGATGATGCCATTAATCTCTCTATAAGGTTTATAATACTATTCACTAATATCATTTTTCTCTATACTTCGACTGATTATCATCCGTAGGCTACTTATTAGTGTTCATACTATGTTTTTCCTACTATTTGTTGTGCTTCCTTCAACTCTATTGCACTTCCAATATTACCTAAAGTTAGCTGGAGGACTGCCAGTAACCCATGACCATTCTATCTCATACCATTTTCGGTGTATTTATTTGTGCCACCATAATACTATATTGATTGGTCAAATTGAGAGTGATTCCTCTGGAGTCACCAAGGTACTATACTAGTAGATAACAAAAGAATACTTAACGGAAGAGAACCTTCTTGTATTTCAGTAACACCAATTTCAAGAATAGCAGTAGAAATTTAGCCGGGTAAAAAGTATTTCAGAAAAATTACCACAGGTGAAAGAAATACGACGAGAAGAATTTAGAGTACTCACTTACTGCATCGTTACATTATATTCAGTATTTGGGTGCTGTTATACCAAGCAATAACTGCTTTCCACTTTGTGATTACTACGAAAAGTACGGACAATAAACTAAGAACTCTACGAGAAAATTCACGAAAGAAAATGCCGGTCACGGAGGAATATAGCAATTCTTTATTTAACCTATCAGAACAATAAGGAAAATAGCGCAAAATGCAATCTCATATTTACAGTATATATTGTCACCCAAAGGTCTTTGAATTATGGATAGCTGTTTACTTTTGGTATTCTGCTTTCACAAAACGTGTTTTCAAATTAGTGTAGTTTCTATCTTGAAATTTTTGTAATGACCAATTATGAAGAAATTCGCAGTATGTCCAGATAAAAATATCTAAAATAATCTCTATTCCATTAATTTGGAGATGAAAAGCATATATGCAGGGTACCATCTGATAAATTGTTACTCATTTATTATTAGAACTTAAAGTAACAAAGAATAAATAAAATACTGTCTCGATACTATTAATTTGTTTAACAATAGAAAACCTAATCTGGTAGGACCAAACTTTTTCGGCCATAAAAATGAATGATACTCTATGATTCGGCAAGAACCACAACTTTGGTCATATACTTTAAGGATCTGAAACTTCAAAAGCTATATGAAATATAATCAATCCAAATCAAATTCTGACGAAGGAAAGTAGTTTACTGCCATCACGTAGTTCATCAACTTCAAATAATGTATGCGATTATTGTACAGAAAGTTGTTTTTTCTAATTCAAAGATAACATAAAGATGTTATCTTAATGTCGTAGTTAGAAGTGTTCATAATATACCATTCTATTTTTTTTGTCTTCTTTTCTTTTTTTATCCAAGGGCATTGGAAATTATGGTAAGTACTAACTTGTGTATTATCCTCTTGACCAAATTCAGTAATTATCGTATAGCTCATGTCAAAAAGAGAATGTAAGAATAAAAAAAGAACAACATATTTTCTTTCTTTTTTGGAAATCATACAAAATAACTGGTAGTCAGTTAATTTATCTTGGAACATTAATGCTCAATAAATTGCAACTAACCCTAGGTCTTATTAGTCAATTCATACAACTGAGATTAAAATTAAATTGTTTCCTTAGTGCCTAAATAACATAAAAGCAATTGATGTGATGATACCACGACCCATCAGATAGAAGAGCTTTTATGGAGTTGATAAGAAGATATTCCTTATTTCAGACGGATGATTGGTTTTCACAACAGTTGATTATTAAAGTACGACTAAAAAAAGAGCAGTTTTATTTAAGGAATTACTAGATAGTTTCAAGTATGCACTTATAAGAAATTAATGAGCCATACATAAACTAAAACATACCACTTTTAAAATTCACGATTTTTAAAAAGAAAATTTGGTTAAAAATTCAAGTAGATACTCTTTATGTAATAATTACAAGACTAGGTAGTAGTATTGTAAACCTATGGAACCTATTTTGTTTTGTTAAATATACCTTTGCATTTGAATTTCAATCACAAAATAAATTTGACATATTAAACTTCTGTTACAGTAATGTTCAATAAGAAGTTTGTATTTATATATTTTATGTCCCCATAACTTATTGCAACAGGGCACCATAGACAGCACATAAACTGAAATAAGCTACCATGGTATAGGAGTTTTCTGTTTTACATTATGTGTTAAGTTTCTGTGATTATGGTACAATGTTATATTCCTCAACTATTTTTTTTTCAGTGCATGAGGTTCATTTTTGAATATCGTTAGCAATATCTTTTAGAAACTTCGATAACAGTGAAAAAGATTGAATATTACCGAGGTTTACTTTTACGAGCATGACAATGAATTCTTATAAGTTTGTTTTGTCAATATATATATATAACCAAGTTATACCCTGGTGTTCTCTTTTGGAGAGGCTAGCCAAAAAGCCTGTTTTCGATCTCTAAGCTTTTATACACCTATATATCGTCAAAAAAATGTATACTCAAAGGACTAGAATGAATCTTAGCTAATGGTATGACTAAAAAGAACATAAAAGTTAAAGAAAATCATACATATTATAGAATATTTTCAACCAAAATAACATGAACAATTTAAATACCGATTTCTTTATTATATACCACAAAACGATAAAATTCTAATTTCTATAATATCCAGTTAACAAGCTCAAAATGGATATATATCTTAGATAGCATTGCTAATAATCTGTAGAACCGAGAAATTCTCCTCATAAAAGCTCAAATCCAATTAAATGAAAAAGAACAACAAGAGTTTGATTAAATAGCTGCTTTAGCTTGAAATTTGCTCAGTTAACACTTTTGCTCTTTGATGTACCAGAAACGACTCAGTGATGTACTCTGTTTGTATTTAATATTCTAGAAAAGAAACAAAATATACTATACAATAACTTATAATTATATAAAATAATAATAAACTAGGTGAACCTCTTCTTTGTTTAAGCTGGTATAAATTTTTTGCTTAATAATGTGGTCTAAGTAGTACATCGGGGTTTATTTAACCAGATACATCGGGCTTGAAAATCAAATAAATCAACATTGCCTTATATTTTTACATGAACTGAAACTACTAAAAAAAAGAATTATTTCATGCTTTGTCTTTTACGTATGCCAACAGCAAAAAATTATGCAGGAATTATTTCCGAATGTGAATACTTAATATTATTAACAGCTGTTTTTTTTCTAAGAATACTGAAATTATAAAATGATGTTTGATAAGATGGAACATGATCATAAAACAATAGAACATATGGATTACTATTTTGTCACAAAAAAGTAACTTGAGATTGGACATTTGATAAATTAGAGTAATCACATGTATTCATACTGTTTAGACAAATACCATTCATTAGAATTATTCTGCTGGTAAGTTGCTGGACTTAAAGACTTGATATGTAAAACATAGTTGTAACAAGTCATTAAATGCTCTAAATTTTATAAAGATTCATTATTTTTTGGTTAACGTTCACACACAGTTTATTTAGTATTTGACAATATTAGCAGACAAACTAAGTGCAATACATATAAATGAACTTGAGTTTTATCAAATATATATATATATATATATTTACATTTATCTTGTAATACCCAACAGTAAGTCTGCACAACCTCGGTATTATATCAATAATACTACTGGAATTTCCAAATTAATAAAAATTAGATATACTAATGAACATGATTATACAAGCCCATTTAAAAATAGGTAATAGTTTACTTTAGGGAACCCCTTTTTATTTGTAAAAGCACTGTAGTGCTGAAGTCATTATAGTTCTCATTGGTTTTGTACGTTCATTAACAAGTGAAAAGTTCGAGCACATTTCACAAATTCTTATAGAATTTAAAATAAGCTACTCAATACAAAAACATCTTGTATACTTAGTTTGCATATAATTGCTAAAAAAACTGCAATTAATTTGGTAAGTAATTTTTAGTTCTAATAAGCATTGTTCAAGTTTTTAATATTTCTATTTTGTGAACCAATTTAGGTTGGTAAGAAAAACTTGGTACTTAACATATAGCACCAATTAATTCCATTTGTCACAAAATTTAAATTTCTTACTATTATATTTTAACTGTAAAATGGGAGCTTTGAGGTATTTATGCACTAATTTATGTTTTTCACATGGTAGTGAGTAAGTAATAAAATTTTCTGTTCATTTAATATCACTACATAAATTAAAGGGAGCATAACTTGACAAGAATTTGTTCATATATATGAAATTTTAGGAAGAAAACCTTGCAGTGATGAAACTTAAAAATAAATATTCTAGCCATTGCGCTGTCATGAACAAAAAAATAAGTATATTTTTCTTAAATGTATGCATAACCACTCATGTACTCACAAATACACAAATCTCTTGAATCTAATAAGGTCTCTAAGAATAATCAATGTACAGTACTTACTCTGCGATGAAAAAAAAAAGAAAAAAAAAAAAAGAAAGGAAAGAAATAAAAGAAAGAAAAGAAAGAAAAAGAACATCTTTAAGTCCATTTACAAGCCACAAGAATAGAAACAGACCACAGCACACATATATTAGACAAGGTTTTATTATTCCAAACTTATTACAAAAGAATTACCTCACCCGTACTTCATTTGCATACTGTAATATGTATTTTGTTTTCTTTATTGTGAATGAAAGGTGCACACGATAATCTATTATCTAAATTTGAAAAACTGTACGAGTGGATTAAGCATTTGAAATAGTTACATGGCATCTTAAGAGAAAAACTCAAACACACAATGAATATAATACTATTCTAGTTATAATGGTTAACTGGTAGTTATATTTTCTATCTTGATTCATATTAATCCATCTTGCAATAGGTCAACGAAACTCATTTCAGTAGCATCGAAAGCCTTAATGAAACGTGGTATCTCTTATTAAACCAATAAAATGTCATCATATAGGCAACTTTCGATATCCTTTTCACATATCTCCTATGAACTTTTTCTTTCATTTCTTTTCGCTCCTTATTCTGCTACCTTCTAGAACAGTTCAGCCTCTAACTTTAAAGGAAAGAAAAAGAAAAAAAAACAAACTGAAATTGACTCATAAAATATAAAATAGGAAAATGGTAAATATTAGGAAAATAATACAGTGGAGAGTTAATGACATTCTCAAGAAAACTACCTTGCGTAGAGATATTGACAAAAATCAATATTTGATATATCTGAGAATATAATTATCATTTATGGAGGTTACAACTACTTCACCATTCTCAGGTTTGATATCTGTTGTGAGATGAAAATTTCCTTTAGTCAGGTAATTGTAGGTATGGTTTGGTAAAATCTCATCCTACAAATGCATGTGCTACATTAAACGAGTGTACACGAACTCCCTTATTGAAAAAGATATTCAGATAACTACGGTAAATTTTTGCAAAATCTATCACTGCAACATTCTTTTGGTTATGATATTTACAATAAATATTGTTTTGAGGTGATAAAAGAAGGAAAAAAACCAGATATACGTAATATATCCTATGTGACTTTTGATTGGTGGATTTTAATTGCATTGTTTATAAAATTGGTTTAACTACGTGTATGTAAATTATTACTCTATACAGATGCCTTTCTCCAACTAATATCTGCAATAGAGTATCTGAGATCTAGATCAAACAACTCATTAAATAATAATAGTCTCTTATCACCATTAAAATTATCTAACAGTAGATAGATAACTGTTGTGTTAATATGAAAACGTAGGCTTTTTGGTAGTTTTCTTTTCTTTCCTTTTTTTATTGTTTCATAAGATCTAACAAATCAACAATAGGTAAACCATTATAACAATAAATAATACTAATCAATGTGCAGAGGATAACTGAAAATGAACCAAAATCTTTAATTATTATAAGATATTATCTTTCATGGAACTAACATTCATGAACAGGTACTCTATTCCACATATTCTTATTAGTAAAAGAAAAATATTGCAGAATCAAATAATCTCCCACAATATAAAGCCACATGTGAAGTTTACATATTATCAAACTAAAAATTGTAGTTTAATTCAAGTATGTATAAACAAAATTTCAAAAATACCTGTATTAGATTTTGTTAAGGTTCTGAATATATAATATTTTCAGGTCTAGAACACCCTTGTTGGTATTATAATTAGAAAATATAGTTCAATTGAATAACAATTCAGATAGAGACAAATGGTTTTTTTTATAACTGCTTTTGTGCCTATTAATAATCGTCTAAAGAAGTACTTAATAAATTTCCAACAGGAATCTAACACTAGTTATAGTGTTGTGAAGCGATTGAGCAGTGGTAATAGAAAATTTATAAGGTAGCAGATAGATACTGTTCTGACCATACCTAGCTCTGGAAGATATATAAAAGTACTCTTAAAGCTTTTTAAGATAATAAAACATGAGGTGAGGTCTAAAAGATATACAAAGTTGTTAATCAAGAGATTGAAAAAGATTAGAGACCAATGAATTTATCATCTTTTACACCATCTCTAAGGTGGTTGATTATCTGGACTTCTTTGATACCTTTACTATTGGCAAAGGATGACTATTCTTCCTCCTTGTCCAATAATAATTTAGGATGGACGGACCCTACTGAATTTCCTCTTGGATGTTCACCAAATGTTACAACACCAAAAAATGGATTGTCGATGGAACTTTATTCCTATGATTATTTGAAATCAGGATCGAATCCATGTTGGGATGCAGCATATCTAGATCCGAATTATCCTCGAACAGGCTATAAATCACACAGACTTCTTGCAAAAGTTGAAAATGTTGCTGGAAATATAAATTTTTATTATCATGCCCCAATGGGGTGTACTTCGCTGTTTGATACATTACCACAAGCTTATAACTATCGTACACCATTGACAATGACAAATTTTACTATGTTACTCTATGGCTACTTTAAACCAAAAGTAACCGGTTATCATACGTTTACAATTTCGGCCGACGATTTACTGTTTGTGAATTTTGGGGCTGGTAACGCGTTTGATTGTTGTAAAAGGGAATCCAGCGCTGATGACTTTGGTAATTATCAGGCTTATGCCGTATGGGGTTCTCAAACAGCTAAGGATGATTTAACAGTTCATTTAGATGCAGGTCTATACTATCCAATTAGAATTTTCTTTAATAATAGAGACAATGATGGTGCATTAAGTCTAACATTAAAAACTGAGTCAGATCCGAACCCTGTAATAGACTTCTCTGACTATTTCTATTCATTTGATGATACAAAAGATGGTTGTCCAGGCTTAGTTAGTTATGATACTTCGTGTGCCTCAGTTGACTCATCTACAATCATCGGTGTTGACTACCTAACAGAAACACCAAACAAAAATCTAGTTCCAATTACTAAAACAATTTACCATCTAGGAATTCCTTGTACTCTATCCACAACAGGTAAATTATGCAGCACCGGGTTTTATGACCCGTTAGCAGATAGTTGTGTGCCAACAACAATACTCTCGACTCTGATAACATCAGAACCAAGTTCAGAGTCTTCTTCTGAAACTTTATACTACTCTTCGAGTAGAAGCCCTTCTTCAAGTGTTTCATATTCGGAACATACTAGTATCAACAGCAGCAGTCCTATCTCATCGATCACCAATAGTACTCCTTCATTATCTTCTCAATATACTTCTACCAAGTTTTCTTCAATAACCAACTCTACGAAGTCACCATATTCACCAAGTCGTTCTAGTTCATCATCTGATATATCTTCTGAAACAAACTCTGATAGTTCAGTCTATACACTACCAAGTAGTAGCAAACCGATAACATCTAAAACCTACCAGAAGAATAGTACTGGGGTTATGTCTACGAGCACAGATGTGAAATCAACAACTTTATGCAGTTCGGTTCCTACAAGTAAATTTGGTTCAAGTAGGTCATTAGAATCGTCAGTAATTGATTCAACATCATCCTTTGTCAATAATACAAACCATCAATCATTTACTACAGAATCAGGTACCACTTCAGTTAACTCAAGCAATCTATCCACACAGATTTCAAGGATGTCAAGTTTTTCTACATTTGCTAAGGCCACTACAAAAATAAGTTCCTCTGTACAAACTTCCAGTCATATTCTACAAAGCCCAACAACAGTTTCATATATGGATCACACACGTAACAGAACAGAGGCTAGCTGTTCTTTGGACATTACGAATAAGCTTCTGTTCCAACAGTGTGCTTTTAATTCAGTTCCAGAGTTTCATAGCAAAACGCAGATGTCTAGATCTCAAATTCCCTTCGCAACTTACACAACTTCCTCAGACAAATCTGTTTATTACTCTAGCAGTGGGAGTGCTTCAGGTATAATGGTTTCTATAGAGAGTTCCATTGGTTTTTCCATTTCAAAAACTAATTCTGAGAATACCAAGAACCCTCACTCTATTATTTTGCAAATACAATCTGAAGAAGCATTCACTAATTATGCTACTACAACAGAGACATCTTCAAAATCTAAACTGGCAGACAATAATGATTCTACTAATGTTGGAAACATACAAATTGAAACTATTATCCAAGGTTCTGGTTCTGATCTTGTGACGATGTCTGGGGCAACAGTATTGTTCTTTTTCATCGTGCAGCTATTTGGCATGTTCTAGAAATATGTGATACCACATTTCCTAAGATAGGGTTGTGAAATATTATCATACATAAGATTTCTTCATACAGACCTAATTCAAATGTGGGCTGAGTTTAAGTTTTTATCATTTTTACTGATATATGCCTTAACGATTATCACACACTAAAAAAATGAATGAATACTAAGCATAGCTATCTTATTCGTTATTGAGAAAAAGTGGTTTTGAAATATACTGGGTCTAACACATGCCAAGAATATTGTGGATATATTGTATTTAAATTTATTTGTCAGTGAATTTATTGATAAACATAACATAGTGGTATCAATTCTTTTGAAAAGCTACATATTTCTTCTACCTTATTTTTTTTTCCATTCTCATTTATTGAAAGAATTTATTGTCCCTTAAACTGTTGAGCTTGAATCTACGAAAGCAAGTAGATGATATATTCCACGTGATACTTATATTATTTACGTTCTATACATATATTGATAGGATAATGAATATCTTTCGTAGAGAAAGAGTTGAATTTGCAGGAATATAGTACTGTGAAGTAAGTACCAGATTTTGGTACTACTTGTACGGAAAGGACTGTTACCAAAACATTATTATCAGTGACAATGAAGATTTGGGTTGTATTTTATTGAGAAGATTTCCAATAGCAGATTCACTAAAACGAGAATACATGTGATGATTTCGTGCCACAAATGTGAATGTCCGTTTGCTGCGATAATCTAAGACGATCTTGTGGAGTAGTTGGTACTTGTGTCCAGTTATACTTGGAAAACATGATGCTAAGATATTAATTCAAAATTCTAATGGTATATTATACAAATTATACTGTTTATTTTTCTTTTACTATACAAAATAAGATAATAGAATTAAGGTTTAGCTTTATAGGCTAATGGAGATCAGGGTTCCTTTTATACCTTTCATCTTTTGGCAGATAAACTGATTCTAAGAAGCCCTAACTCGGTTTCTTTTCTGATTAATGTTTCAGATAAAAATTCATTTCACCTGTAAGATGATAATAGTCCGTCACAGACCTAGTTATATCTTATCTAAGCTTCTCTACTCTTTCGTTTATATACTTCTATGTCTGTATGAGCGGTATTATAATGCCTGGCGTAATTGTCGTTTACGACGCTCTTCTTCGTGGCACGGTATCAGCATATGATCATATTCGTATAAATGAATAAGTAGTTTCGAGTTAATCTAAGCATCTACTACCGTAACACTTCACATTATGATATTTGTTGAAACACGTTGAAATAAATTCGAAGCATCTTATTATTCTAAACGAAGATAGTCATATGAATATATTGTGGCACGAATATGAGTGGTATACTATAATGATTAAAGGCTTAATAGTACCGCTGATACAGGCACAGTAATAAATTCACAAAGTCATCGATAATAAGATTAAAATGGACAGGTAACAGACTAAGGTCACTTTCCAGGTGAAGAGAAAGCGAGTTAGGACTTCTAAAAAACAGTATATCTGCCAAAAATAAATGGTATAAAGAGCCGTTATACATCATAGTCTATCATGTTAAAGGTAAGTTCTCATATCATTTTATGCATTTCATAACTATAGTTGCAACAATATCTTATCAGTTAGTCTTACTTACAGACTTCGACGCCAGAAATGACAGATCACTACCAACGTCTATATCATTTTAACACCACATGATAATATTTATAATTCTAAACGTAAGTCTAACATAAGGCTAGAATTTCACAAATTGTTGGCTTGAAATTGAGCAAAATTGAAAAGTGACGAATACAAAATTCCTAACCAAAATATTAAGTTTTTATATAACAATAAGTCGATTATGACCACTAGTCAGTACAGATATCAACACTACTATTTTACAGAATTTATTTTAATTTACCATACCAAATAAGGATAGATATTCTGATTTGTTGTTTATTTCTTGGTAAATATGGAGAATAAATAAATATTGTTCTTCCTTCATATTCTTAGGATATAGAAGTATGATAACATCAATACAAAAATTAACTCAATTAAAGTATAAAAAATTTCATATATTAAAACCTAATATGATACAAATAATAAAAATCGGAATGATGAAAGAAAGGAAAAACAGTATTGAAGTTGGTAAAGAATACAATAATTCAGAAGGAAACCACATT